TGTCGTATATAGCAAGCGTATTTACTACAGTAAGTTAGGTTACAAATATCTATCAAATGAATATATGTTTGAATTCCAACAATTAGTTCCTATCCCTCCATTTTCTCACTAAAAGCTACTAAAAGTAAAAGCATTACATGTAATTCAAGGTGTCTAGATGTTTTGAAATGAAATAGGATCATCAATGAAATTTCTGCATTAAGGTCTTGTCATATATACTTGCTTCCAGTAGAGAATATAGAAGTACTTCAGTTAACCCCAAAAATTATAGAAAACTCACAGAGCTCCCAAGCTGATTTGCTGGCAAAGAGTAAGATTGTCAACGGTGTAATGTTGATTGTGACTATAGGCATCAGCTTGCTAGGGGGGTCTGGGGGCAGTCCCTGAGCAAAGTTTGAAAACTTGAAGCAGCTAATATAAAAAATAAGTAACTATATATATCCTAGATTTTTCTCTTACTTGTATCAAGAAGTCAAGTTACCACTGAAACACAAGAGTTTATTCTACAATAAACCCACTGACCATGTAGTAATGCCAGCTAGTAGGCTCTTAACCAGAATTTAACCACTGTTACCAAATTATATCAAGAAAGATAGTTAAAATTATGTACAGGTACTTAACTTAAAAGGGACAATTTTCTGCCTCAAAATCAACTGCTTCAATCAAAAACCTTACCTTGCAAGAAATAAGTTTTAGCATACGGGGGTCAATAAGGATTGAATAATGATTTGCTTGCCCAAGTCTCACACTTAGTGTGTGTAAGACTTGAGAGCTCTGCTTTTATACAAGGGTTGGATGATGTGTACTATTGATACAAAAGAATTTCATGCTGTCTATTAATTTACTTTCACATATTTAGAAAGTACAATTTTGCTCACCAGTCAATACTAAAAACTGATTGTATTCCAGCTTTGCAGTCTCTTGGTCATCAATTACTTGACTGAGTGAACTAGGAAAGGTGAATCAAATCGTTAGTATCTTGGAGCTTAAATGGCATCATTTCAGTTCAAATAATGAATTTTATTGGCTGTTAGACCAGGACGGGGGGTACTCCCAGAAAAATTGGGTGGAGTTGTGCAGCCCGCTTCCCAAAACCTTACCCTATTTATGACCAAAATCTGCAATTTTCCCTACCCTATTTAGGATCTGACCAAATATTTGATATCCTCTTTATGACCACTGCAGCTGGCACAGTTGCCCTAAATATACTTTATGAAGGGCTTTTGTTGATGGTCTTATCGATAATGATGAAAAAGTAGCTTCTTCTAAAAATTAAAACATACCCAGTTTATGACTAGAGTGCAAAAACTATTCCCTATTAATGACCAAAATGGCAAAAATCAATACCCTATTGACCAAAACGGCTGAAAAACCATATCCTTTGGGGCCGCACATACCTATATATATGTATATATGTGCTCTTGTCGTCTGATCAACATACACTAGCAGTTCATGTATGTGCAAATTAAAATCACTTACTATGTAAAAAGCTTCTTTAGTTTGCTCAGTTTAATTTGCATTTGAGATTATCCATCGTCAAAATTAAATCAAATAAAAGAAATTACAGCTTAATTTTGGAGATTCATTGTAAACCCTTATCCCAAGATGGTCACCATTCCATTGTGGTCCCAGCCTTAGCAAAAATACTGCATCAGTGTTCATATACTCACCTGGCATTTTCAGTTCTCATTTACGTGGACTATGGCACTCCGCTCAACATCTGCGTGCCTGTCAAAGAAGTAAATATAAACTTTTAGCGTCTCAAAGTAAACTAGTAAAATTTCAGTTCAGTAGTATTAGAAATTTTCCAGCTCTTTGTAACTTAGCTAATACAAGCAATTGCACTGATAGTTGAGACATTCTCCCTCAAATAGCACTTTTCTTAAAAAAAATTCGTTCACTAATAGATTATAACTTGGAAGTAGTAATTCCATTCTAGACCCCCTCATTTTCCTTCCAAAGTTGTCAGTCGTATGTTTGAAAGTCAAACACTCTAATCAGTCAGACAACATTGTTAAGGGAGAGTCCAGAAGGGAGACAGCAAGGTGTGATTGTTTAAATGTCCAAATGCTAATCTCCGGGCCTAATCCTAGTTTGATTAAGTGATTGCTTAAATGTCGACCAAGGGTACCAAGGTAATTAGGAGGGGGGTGTATTGGCCTAGTTTCAAAGTGTGTTTTCTACTGATCAGTTTAAAGCAGGAGCAAAGCCAGAAATTAAGGACAAGAATACGGCTAAATCATTATTAACTACTCTTGAACATGACTGGAGCTCTGATTACACCTCCAAATAGCCTTAAAACCTCATTTGCTCACCTGTTAGAACCAACCAGATCTATGCCTTCGAGGACCGCGGTAAACTCTGCCGAGCATAACGAACTCGTCCCAGGCTCTCGTCTAAATAAGAGAGAGTTCAAATTATTTTGAAACATTACTCACTTCTGAGAGTAGGCAATAACGAAATATAAAATAAAGACGACATTAAAATTACAAGAACTAGAAACCCTGGATTATTCTGGTCTTTCTCTAACAGTCCTTTGAGGAATTGGACCGGACCCTAGGTTTTTTAGCATTTGATTATCATCTCTGGATGTAAATGATTACCCAGCTGTCTGATCCCTTTAACTCCAGTGGGAGGCTAAAATAACAGCAGGTAAGGGGTAGAGGAAAGCACCAGACAGACAGGCCGTTCCATTCAGTGAAAATCCAACTGCCTAAGAAGAACCGGTAGACTACTATTTGGTGGTCGGGAGCCAGATAAATCGAGCTCGTGTGCTCAGAGCTGTCACAGGGTTTTCACAGAGTTCTACAGCGTAGACTTGGACAAAGTTGCTCCAAGATTCCCTACTACATCCCAGAGTTAAACGTAAATAATTATGAAGTATATACTGTTCGCAGTCTCACCTGTCAGCCAAACAGATTCCATCCTCCAGTTGCCTTCCATTCTCACCTGCATAAACCTGTTTATTGCACATTCAGCTCTGCTTACATCTGCACAAGAATTCCAAAGATTTCAAATTATATCATCAGAAACTTTTCTTTTAAAGAACGATCGAGTTAAATAAAAGACGCGCACTGATGTAAATTTTTTTGCCCTTTTTATTGTTATCTAGGTCAGCCAGTGTTGTAATCTGACTAAGGATGGCTGCCCAGTCTTAAGTACCTGTTAAGGTTATTTCGGGCAGTCATGTACTAACTTTATTTTAAAACTTATTTTTGTAAACTTTAATTCTAGGTATGTGTACCAATAAAGTTGTTGTTGTTGTTGTTGTTGTTGTTGTTGTTGTTGTTGTTACTCTTTTTAATTTATTAAAGGCGTCAGCAAATTTCACACCGAAAACATAACTAATAGAGATTTGAACGTACATTATATACTAAAGAACATATCTCGAATAAGTATCATACAACAAAGTTAATTTACGTAATAACCTTGTAACGGTCCAGTTTTGAACTCTGTTTTATCGTCCAACTTCCCACGTGTGTACTGCTGGCTCTTGAGCGACTTCGCTCCTCCAAAGTTCGCCATTGCTCGTTTCTGTCTATAACCTTACCCTTTTAGACAAAAATTTTAAACTGCCAAAGAGCATGAAGATGGCTATGGAGAGATAGCTACGACAAGACCGTCGATAGAGCGACATATTTCTTTCTTGCGCTCTTGGCGTGTCAAGGTGATGATGAAAACATGAATAATCAAAAGTAATTATTTGCAATTCAAATCTAAACGAGAAATGGAATGGTGCAAGATGCGAAATGTATCAGGTTTTGAGGTCATCTCTCATACGTTTCCGGAAATCTCTGTTGGAAATTAAATTGTGAGAAAAATTTTAAGGAAACAATTTTCTTAGGGGTTCTTTTCAAGATTTCAGGCTACCACCCCCGTCCTTTTTATATGGCATCCCCCCCGGAACACTGATACCTACCTTTTTGCCTCCGCAGCAGTATAAATCCCTCCAAAACTTCGTTTTATCAACAAGTTGAGCGGGGAGTGAAATATTAGACGCAAACAAGTCTGAGCATTCCATGAATGACAAGCATGAACAAAACAAATGATTATGAAATATTGCCCTGTTTACGGGACGCCTTTGAGGACGAGACAACCGCTGTGTTATTTCATGACCCTAACATAAACAAAACATCTTAAATAACTCGTATTTTTTTGCCTTAGGATGAACACAGCGGACGACATTTTTGGTCAGAATTCGTCGAGGTTCAAACAGCTCTGACCGGAAACAACTCTTCACCGCAAGAATGGAGTGTCTGCCGACATATCAGGGCTTTACAGTAATCTTGTTAATTGTGGCTTATCTAAACTTATACATTGTTGCACAGGACGCTGACACTAATCGTAAGTGGTTCTTTGACATCTTGTTTTAATGATTCAATACCTAATGTTGCGTTGTAAGTTGTCGTCCGTTTGTACAAACGATCGCTCGTTTACTAAATGGAGAGTGACATTTCTTGAACACAGTAACAGTCTTGGATGTCATGGTTACGTGATCGAGCCACTTTAATCCAAACTCTGATTTTCACTGGGCAGTATCTTTGATACGAAATGAATAGATCTTAGATATAGGATTGTATGAATTTGTTAAAATGCTGTCCTAATCTAAACTAACATTTTTTTCTAACGTCAAACTGAATGACGCATGCTGATCGAAATCTAGTACTGATTTATTTCACATCCGTAATTTATTTTATTTATTTATTTTTTTTTTTTTTACGTCTCTAAGTACGAAAGTGGAAAAGCAATCTAAACTGGATCACAATCAGCTGGAACAGGATCAGTTACCGCTTTTAAAATTCTTCAGTTGAATCCAGAGGAACTTTGGAATATTTTTCAAATGTCTGTAAAATCAACACATGCTGTGGCATGTCTCTACGGTGCCTAATGTCATTTCAAACATTTTACCCTTGATCAGTTCTGAGTGAATTAAAGAAGCTATCTTGGTTAAACACGTTGCACCAAAGTTACATTTGATCAAGTGCAGTTTTACAATTGGGAAACGAATTGTAGCATAGTATTATAGCGGACAGCTTATTAATCTCGCGGCGGTAATTGCCACGTATGTTTGAGGTAGCCTCTCTACTGAGATCTTGCAATCCAACTCAACTCCCTGGGAAACTATGTTTTCCATAAAAGGTAAGTGTTCTATTCGGTATCCCAGACTTATATGAAACAGTCAAGTGAAGACGTGGCTTTTTAGAGAGTGGTTATACATTCCTCTAAAGACATCGTTGTTGTCTGTAAATTTTCGGTTGATCCAGTGAGCGTGTGTTTGATACGAAAACCCAAGATCGTTACGAAAATTACATTTACTCAAGATGAATTTCTTTTAGAGATAGATTGTTCAACATTTCGTCAGTTTAAACTGATGAGTTCTTTGAACTTGATCAGGAATTCGTTAAGATTTTCATTAGTTCTCATTATCATCAACTGTCCATTTGATTATGGGTTGAAAATGAATGGGGAGATTATATTGTGGTTACTATTTGGTCCGATGCCGTCTTGCTTCTACGATCTCCAAACTATCAGCTGCAGAGCTCCGCACAGGTGTAAAATTAACATCCTTGCAGTAGCAAGACTTTCAAAACTGCTTTCGTTAAAAATTTGGGAAAGGAAACATTTTAAAAGAGATTCTGTTTAATCTTTCAACAAAGGAAACAGTCTACAAGTGTCTAATATAAAACCTTGAAGCCTCAGCGGGAAAACCTAACAGGAACAGCGGGCACACAATTTTTTGTACGAATTAACAACATGGTTAAACAAATGTTAACAGAAACATTAGCTTTGGCTGGAATTCAAACAATTTGTACTTCGATTTAATAAAAGTTTGGGTTGGGTTGGCCGCAAATTAAATGAACCGTGTTATCATACCCCTGAAGTCTTCAGTATTTCACGAAATTGTTACGTAATGATTTGGCCATCATCCTTTTTGGGAGTCCGAGTGTGACGTGGGACAAGGAATGTTTGGTCATTACTGAGTGTAGAAGCACTATCTGAGCCCGCGTTTATCTTCAGAGGCGTCAGTGGAGGCTGCGTTGCTAAGCAGCGTAACATATCTGTGACCCAGGTCACGTTCGGTCACGTTGATGTGAGGGTGTTACGCAAATTTATTGTAAAATCAGAGAATTGCATCTCTTTGAGTCTTTCGCCGCCTATTTCCCCAAAGTCGCTCTTTACCACAAAACAAAGAAATATGTTAGAGCAAACTATAGTAAAAGGGAATACGGAAAGCTCCATAACACTATTTATCAAGTCCACTTACATTTAACAGAGGTTTACTTTGTTGATTATTTTTTCTAATTTGCTGGTTTACACTGTCACAAGTCAAGAATGTGGGATATGATAGATGACTGATGTATAAACACCCTCGGCAAGATTTAGGTCTGTGTGGTTTTTCATTCGCGCCTTATTCGGAAAAGTGTGTCACCCAAATCTGTAGAGCTTTGCATGGAGAAGCCATCAAGTTGGTGCCCTTCCGAGGGGCACCAACATGGCGGCCGTAAAGTGACAGAAACATCTGTCATCGAGTTTTGCCATTGGAACGAAAGATTATTACTCTAGAGTTCCGACCCATTGAAAGTAATAATTCTTCTATTGCAAGAGCCGTTCAGTTAGCAAAAACGTGAGCGATAACTCCTCTTTTGATCTAAGCGAAAGCCCCCTCGGGTCACTATTTTAATGCCACGCAACGTAAAAACTTGGAAATTCAAACGTCCTCTGTAATAAAGTGAGGAACCCTGTCGAGCTTAAATGCTGTAAAACTTCAAGTTCTTAGAAGGTCTTCTATCTGATCAAACTAAAACTTCAGACGGATTGGTTATTTTTAATCAGTTGGAAAATGATAACATCACATGAAAACCGGTAATTTTCTTCTAATAAACCATTAGCCTACACGCAGCCTAATGCCGGGAATTTTCATGGTATTTTATTTCATTGTTTTAGACGAAAAGCATAAAACGCAAGAAAACTACAATAACACGATTTCTGCTGGAAGAGAAAGGTACGGTGTACTTTATATACGTTAGAGATAACAGCTGTGTTAGTTTAGACGGAAAGATATTATTGAAGCTCTGTCGGAGACGAAATTTTAAACAGTTGTTAACTAAGACGTGTCCATGAAATGTTGGAGTTACTGAGAAAAATCATTCAAGGCAAGAGCTTTGAGATTTGAACATTACAGCTTATTAAGGCGGATGATAGCATTTTACAACGCTTAACTTTGATTAATTATTTGATACTTCAAATCTATATCTATAAAGGAAGAAGAATATTATCAAACAAACGTCTAGTTGTTAGTGAACAAGTTGTGATCACCTTCTCCAGATAACGATTAACCAAAATTCAGGAAAACACTGTGAAAAGCGATCAAGGTTAACCCATGCATTGTTTATGCATGATTGAACAACGATTACCATGTTCAGAGCCGGGACTTTTTCATTGAAAACCTTTGGAAGAGGTCCAGAGAAACCAAAACAATTTTAAAGTTTGAAGCCGTATTAACTAATATTCATAGATAATAACGTGACCTTAAATCCCTCCTTCACAGTTGTGTAGAGGCGGAATCCCCTGCTGACCATAAGCTGACAGGAGCTATCTGCCATCCGTACAGTGCGCATGCACAAAAACCACACAAAAAGGACGTTAAGCCAGAAGTCTGTAGATCTATTCTGGGAAATGAGCTCTTGTTCGCCACACCAGCCGAGCAGGATTGGCGTGAGAACCTGTTCGTCACTTACACCATACGTTTCCGAGGGGCAGCTGGACAAGTACCACGCATGCCTAAAACACCCAGGCAACTGCTGACCAAGTTTTGTTGGCAGCTCATCGTGCACATGTACTGTCGATTTCTCTTGCCGAAATGTGACATGACGTCATCCAGACCTCGGGCCCAGCCTATCTGCCGGGAGGCGTGCAGAGAATTTAAGAGCCACTGTCAACGGGAATGGACTCACGCGCAAAGGAAACACAAGACTGTATCTTGGAAAATTCAGCAACTCGCTGCGGGTGTAGAAGGAAGTTATTCGCTCATGTGGTGCAAGAATCTGCCCAGACGAAAAGGAGGAAATATTCCAGAATGCTACTATCCTGAAATTTTGAAAGGTAAGTAAACTATTTTCTAGGCAGGTTTGCAAAAAATAAATTAAATTTTACAAAACAGTCAAGTTAAGGAGGTGGGAGGCGCGGTGACCTCGTGGTTAGTGCGCTCGACTCCGGAGCGAGCGGTCCGGGTTTGAGCACTGG